ACTTAAAACTTCTAGTTAAAAGGTAGGTTGTCACAATAAAAGCATGTACACTAAAGTATTCTGCTTTCCTCTTTCATCAACCTATACAAAGGTGAAATAAATAAGTCTGATCAAGTCTGCAGATCTAGCTAAACATAAGAGCATGTTACCCAAGATTCAATCAGCAAATTCGTGCAAAAATGATCACATCCTGGGTGAAATGAGAATTACATTCATTAAGCTTGCCACGGTGTCAAACACACACCTGTGATCCCAGCACTGAGAGGCTAAGGCAGGGCTGCTGCCAGTCTGAGGCCAAATTGGGATACACAGTTGAGTTCAAGGTCAATTGCATAGAGACCCATCCTTTAAAAAAAGAAAGCAGTTACTAAACTATTTGTAAATAAAGTTAGGCCAGAAATGCTAAGATAATTTGAGAGGGAAGAACAGACAAACATGACTGACTAGAGAATGGCATCATGTGCTACTCTCCCTTATGCATATTCAAACTGAAATGTTTTGTGTCATTCTGGGCAGGGCTGGTAATGAGACAAGGGTCTTACTATGCAGTCCCGGTTGGCCTTGAAATCACCACATGGTGCAGGGGACTGCAATATTATGTATAAAGCAGGCCATAAGCAGTGCAAGCTGTAAGGAGTTAAACCCCTCAACTGGCTTGGCTTTGAGAAACAAGAAGCCTATATGCCAAGGTCAGAGTAACTGGTACCCAAATTCCATTCCCACAACTAAAACCTTCTTAACTAGAAGGATAAGGATTATAATTATAACCCTATATTTTGTCTTTTCCGTTCCTAATTCCCTAGTGCTTTGTCCTTTACAAGCTTTGCCTGCATCCTTTTCCACAGAAACTGCATGACTACACATCCTCCCATGTAGCTTGCCTTTCTTTACCCCAATTGATTTCTAATAAAAATGAATAGCTTAAGACCAGTGCCTTTGCTGGATGAGTAAGTAGTACTGGCTGTCCTGGCTGGTGGTTTGCCTCTAAGTTCTTTTTAGTTTCTTTCCTCAGCTTTGAGCAACAGCACTCAGCTAGAAATCAGAACTACTGCACAGGTCTGTGATAATATGTAGCCCAAGCTGGCCTTGAACTCACACTGACCCTTCTGCCTCAGCTGCAAAAAGGGTTATAAGCATGCACTAACCCATCCAGCTATGTTTTTTCACAATGAAGTCAAAACTTTTGTTATTTTTTAAGGGAAAAAGGTAGTGGGCTGCCCATGATATCCTTCATTTTGAAATTAGTGTCAATAAAATATATGGGTAGTCATAATGTATGCCAGCATTAGCAGTATCACATGTAAAATTTTCAGTGTCTAGAAGGAAAGGAATCTGGAGATTTTAATAAAATGAATTATCATGGTCAACAAAACTACAATCGATAGTGAATACTCATGTTATGTTTGGACCATCTGTAATGAGAATCTTTCATGTTTTAGTCTTCATAGTAACCCTATGAATATGTATTCTTAGTACAAGAACTAGAAAATCCAGATCACATTACTTAACAACCTTGATTACAAGTTGGTCTGCTAATTGATAAGGTTTGGATCCTTATTTTTTGTTCCACTCTGCAAAGCTACTATGTACCATATAATAATACATAATAGCCTGGGGGTGGGGAGTTAAGATCCAAAAGCCTGGATAATAAGGAAATAAAGAATTACAGAAACTGAAAACTTATGGTCTAAAACATCCATGAGAATTTCATGATCTGATTTAATTCTCATTATCCCTGGCCCTAGATTTTTTTTAAAAAATCTATACTTTAGCTGAGGATGTAGCTCAGCAGCACAGCGACTGCCTGGCAAGTGCAACGTCCTAATTTCGATTCCTAGTACCAAAAAAATCTGTACCTTTGAAGTTCTCTGTGATAAGACTACCTTCTGCTAAGTTTCCCAACTCTGCTATATTCCACTGTAATCAAGCACCATTTTCAACTTGTAAAAATGTATCTTTAAAAAATACTAAATTAAATCCTTAAGTCAACTTGAAGTATTTTCGCCATGTGGTCATCTCCTAAAAGTCTTAAACAGGTTCATTTCCCCATCACCAGTTATAATTTCAAGTTAAATGGTTCTTTTATAGCTACTACCTACATACTCCTTTAGTCAGAAATCTTTTTCTGTTGGCTAAGGTTAGAAGATAAGGTATTAAAATATGAAATAGCAATCAGATAATAACTAAATAAATATGTATATCAAGAGCAAGAAGCAATTTAAGTATGTTCAGGGACCATTTTCATCTCCAGAAATAAGGATTATTTTAATTTTACATCATTGCCTTTTCTCTTTTACTTTCCTTTCTAGTTTTATTTTATGATTCCCTATTTTTAATGTTCATACAGAGATTTCTTTAACTGAAATACTGAATAGTTTCTCTGGTGTGAGAAACTACAATAGTACACAAGATCCTAATGAGATAATTAATAATATGAAATAGGAAGTAAAGGGCTAAAGGTGTAGGGAAAGTGGGAAGGGTAGGGGAAAGGTAATAAGGAAGAGGAAGAAATATGAGAAACTGAAAAAAATGGAAATAAAGTGTTTAAAAATGGAGAGGGGAGGAAGGGGTGAAGGGAGTGCAGGGACAAAGGAAAAAAATGAGAATCAAGACCTATCATGTAAAGGTACAGGATCCCACTAAAAAAAATATGTATGTTAGAAAAACTAAGGCCAATGTTTAGAATTAAATAGCAATGTAAGAAAACAAAGTATTTCTGCCAATAACTACCTCACCATACTGATAATCTGTTTTCAACTCTCCTTTAGAAAGTTTTTCAAACTTATTTACTGAGATATTTTATATACTACAAAAGACAAAATAAAAAATTTTAATGAGGACTGTTCTCATTAAGGAATATGCTAGACTTCTAAAAAATTTTGGTATACATTCATTTTAAAACATGAGGTTTATAGAATCCATGATACTCCTTAAATCATACCAAAAAGTATGAGAAAAAAGGAGTCACAACACAGTACATGTTCTCATGTTTGTGCCACTGTGAACGGACTGAAAAAAGTTATATCATAGGGAAAGCAGTTTAAAAAAACCCCAAAAACCCACCTGTATCCTATAGCCTACCTAAGACCAGCTGTAAAAAACCCCCTCACAAGTATAGTTGATTATATATACTTTAGTTTATTAACAATAAATACTCCAGACTGAACCTGGGCACTGCACAAGGTAGGCAAGTGCCCCATCATTGAGCTACATCCTCAGCCTTGTTCATGAGGCTTGAACAAGTGGACATGTGATGTGTGTCTGCAGAAAAGGAAGCTTCTGACCTGCTGCCTTCAAGTCACTTAATGAGTGACCAACCAAGTTTTCCAGTAGCAAAGAAATGCCACATCTAATTAGGAGGTCTCCCAAGTATAAAAATCACTACTTTTCAAGCCATGTTTAATGGCTCAAACTATATTCCCAGCACTCAGGGATCTAAGGAAAGAGGATCATACAGTTGAGGCCAACCCTGGCTACACAGTCAACTTCAAGGCCGGTCTTAACTGGAAAGCCAAGACCGTGTCTCAAAAACCAGAAACATCAATAAATACTAGAACACAAACTAACAGTCGATCGAAAGAACAAAATCCTAACATTGCATTCAAGTTCCTTTATGATGTAGATTGTTAAATCTACTTTTCGAGCCTTGTTCTTCTGACCTTCTAATGTTTATCTCCCATCACCTACTGTAGCGTTTTTCAAATACATTTGCTCATACTGTTTACTGAGTTGACTCCTTTAGCCCTAAATGCTTTAATATGATTGATGAACTCAGCTGAAATGTTTTTCTTTGAAACATTCCCTATTTAAGGAAGCTATTCTTTGTCCTGTAAGAGGGAAAAGTAAGCCTGGTGTGGTGTCACAAACTAAGCATCCCAGCACTCAGGAGGCTGAAACAGCTGGGTTATTTTAAGTTTGAGGCAAGCTGGGGGTACACAGTGAATTTAAGGTCAGCCTAAACTATATAGCGTGACCCTGTATAAAATAAAAAAATTATCTGAGTGAAGTGTGTTGACACGCCTGTAATCCTGCATAGGCAGGATTTCAAGTTTGAGGCGAGATTCGGCAGTTACTTAGTGAGACCATGTTTCAAATACAAAGGGCTGGCTCTGGGTTTAAGCACGGGGGGGGGGGGGGTTACAGACATACACTTAGTGTATGCAATACCATTATTTGAAGATGAAAAAAATCAGTAGTCCTTCATATATATAAAAAGCACAGCTGAGTACAGGCACACTCATGTAATCTCAGCACTTCTGCGGCAAGAGGGTTCCCTACAAGTTCAAGGCCAGCCTTACACAGCGGGACTCAGTTTGAAGAAAGGCAGAGTTATACTCCATGTACTGCCTAATGTACAAATTCATTCTCTCTCTCTCTTACACACACACACACCCCAGAGTACCAAAGCATTAGCAATTTTTAAAAAGGGGGCAAACCAAGTAGAACTCACTCCTTTATTAAAACTATTATCAATCAATGTCAATACATTTTCAGCATCACTCCACTAATTGCTACAATAGATGTAAATACATCATTCCAAGTTACTCATCATCTAGCCCTATTCTATACATCTTTCAGTTTTGTCTTCTGACTCCAATACTAATGCTGTTCTGAAGACCTAAGAAATTATAATTATTCTAATATTCTTGACTTTTTGAACTGTAAAACTCCACCAAACTATAATATAAATCTTAATACTTTTAACTCCTAAAGCGACTACATTATGATCTTTATATTGTTTGTTGAAAGGAGACATAATTAGTAAGATAAGAGATCACTTTAAAATTTTTACAGTGACTATCAGTACTCTTTCTTTGAAATACATTTTTTAAGCTCACGCTACCTAGTCTATGTGGCAAAGGGGGGGTTCATTCTGGAAAAAAGGGAACATCTCATTTAAACTATGTTAGCTGTTTGCTACTTCAAAAAAGAAAGATTATTACAAAACAGAAAAAAAGATTTTCACTGGTTTTTACCAGAATAAAATACTTTCAACATACCTGTCATAATAATCACGTTGAAAGTCATAGTCCAAGTCAAACGAGGAGCTGAAAAGGAAATATCGAAGATGATTAATTTGGAGATGCTGATGTAAATTCAAAACAGTAGAAGGGGGGGGGAACATGCCAAACAAACAACAATATCAGTTAAGATCAACATGGAATAAACCCAAACAATTCAAGTAAATAACAACACTCTAATCACCTCAGACCAAGGGTTATAATGCAGTCATCATTTAACTGAGGTCAAAGTTTACTGATTTCAACACATAACATAGTAAAAACAAAAAGACTGGAAAATCTAAGAGTAAATTAAACTTATATCATTCTACTTTCCTTTCTTATCCCCAGCTTCTAAAAAGCTAAACAATTTTTAAAAGATTTCAATTTACACTACAAATAGCAAACTATTTTTCATTAACAAAAATTTCAGGATCTTTGATTAGGTTATAGGAAATGGGCAAGAAGAGGTACATTTAACACAATTTAAAAAGCATTACTAGCTGGGTGTGGTGGCGCAGGCCATTTAATCCCAGCACTCAGGTGGCTGAGGCAGGAGGATCACTGTGAGTTTGAGACCAGCCTGGGCTACATAGTGAGTTCCAGGTCAGTCTCAACTACACAGTGAGACTCTGTCTCAAAAAATCAAAAAACAAAAAACAGAAAACAAACAAAAAAGCTCATTACTAAGGTCGGGGATTTAGCTCAGTGGCAACATGCCTGCCTCATAAGCACAAGGGCCTGAGTTCCATCCCCGGTACCAAAAACAAAAAAAGCATTACTTTTTCATAGATAATACACATTACATTAAACCCTCCCACATCCAGAAAACAGATAGAGAAGATGCCCACTGATGGACACAATGCAGTTATAAATAATAAAGTTCCGGACCTGAGTAGAGGGGACGGAGAAGGGTGTTCTGGTACTGACCCGTACATCTCCGCTGCAGATCGTTTCACACCTGCTTTTCCTCTGTTCACTTTTGGCTCTGCAGCCAGATTAATATCTGAAAAACAAAAGCAAACAAACAAAAAAATTAAACTCTAGAGATTACAATTTTGAACTGCAGTGACATAAATCATGATTTATATTTCCATCTCATTCAAAATCTTCACAAAATTCCCACAAGGTTAGTATTTAGCTTTTCATCTTTGTATTGTGCTGTTAACAGAATTGGCCCCCAGATACGTGAAAAGAACTGTCTACTCTCAAGAGATCAGGCAGAGTTCAGCTCTTACAATGCAGAGCAGTGAGTCTGCTCACTCATCACTACTATCAGTGCATAACAATGACTGCCACACAGGAAGTGGGTCTACAGATTTTAAAATAACACAAATATGAAAACATCTGAGTAATTTCAGATGTAAAGGTACTCATTACCTACTCACAAGAGTTCATGGTCTTTTCCTCCTTTAAAAAATTCACTTACCAAAAACCAAGGATCCCTAGCTCAGCTCTCTAAAATTCAGTTCATCAAATCATCAAGTGAGAAATAGAATTTGGAACATCTTAAGTTCTATTGTTGAATGTCATCTAAAATTTATTACAATTTTGCTTTCAGGAGTTTTGACCCGGACCCATACAAACTCCTATAAAACTAAACAATTAAAATGTCCTGAACAACTATACTGAGTCATCTATCTCACCAACTCAGAATGAGGTCATAGTGAGTGTCCTTGGGTCAAAGAACAAAATACTATGCATTGTTAGGTATGATTATGGTTTGCGTTGTTTAAAAGAAAAAAAAATATTCACAGCCAGGCATCATGGTATAAAGCCAAAAATCCCAGCTACTCAAGCGATTCAGAAAAAAAACCTAGGCATGGATGGATGTGCATGCCTGTTAATCCCAGCCCTGAGGCAGGACTGCTGAGAGTTGAAGGCCTACTTGGGCTACATGGTGCAAATTCAGAAGACTGAGACTATCCAAATAAAAATGCACTAATAGTAATCAAGAAAAGCTAATCATCTTTCCATTGCTGTTAACTCACTACATAGTTGAGTTCAAGGCCTGCCTGATCTAGAGACCTTGTCTCAAAAAAACAAAAACCTTATGCACTATAGAAGTTTTAAAAATAATTTTATGTGAAATAGTGGAATGTTGATACAGTTATATTCTACTGCTGTTTGAAAATTTCTATCAACAGTTAAAAGTATATAAGTCACATAACATGTTCATTTAGACATTTTCAAACACTATCTTTTTTAAGTGTACTGAGTCTAACATGTTGGACTTATACTAGAAGATATTTCTTAGATGTTCTCAATTATTCTGACAACTCTGAAGTATTATCTCTTCAGATAAAGACAGATACTAAGCACTCTAAGGCACTCATTTCGTTTTTTTTTCCTCTTCATATTAACAAAGAAAATTTAAGACTCAGCCCTAACACAAATGGACACCAAATCCTAAGACCCGAACAGTGTAACTCAAGAGCCCTTATGTGGCTACACTATACCATTTTCCCAAGTCTACCTAAGCAAGATATGGCCACATAGGCAATATTTTTCTGCATTATGAAATATCACACATCCTATTTTACCCAAGGTACATGCCTATAATCCTACTTGGGAGGCTGAGGCAGGAAGATCCCTGCCACGTTTGAGGTCAGCCTGAACTACATTCCAAGACTGTCTCAAAAATAAAGAAAAAAAAGGGGGGGATGAAGCAGAGAAACATGAACAGAAAAACTCAGCATTAATTACATCAATGAAAGAATTCATTCAGGGCCAGGGATTTGGCTCAGTGGTTCTGCCCCTTGCTCTGCAAGTACAAGGTCCTCAGTTCGATCCCCAGTACCAAAAAAATAAGAATTCATTCAACCACAACCTTACCTAAAACCTGGCCAGCAATCATTCTGCCATCCTCTCCCGCTACAGCAGCTCGGGCGTTTCTCTCATTAACATACTGGACAAAGGCAAAGCCTTTATGAACGGAGCAACCCACAATTTTGCCATACTTCGAGAAGATCGCCTCCACATCAGATTTCTTTACCACAAGAGTGTTGAGATTTCCAATGAACACACGGGAGTTCATGGAGCGAGGATCTGTCTTGTTGGTAACATTGCTAGCCATCGTGTCTGATGATAAAGTTGGCAACAAAGACAAAAACCTGGAGGAAAAAAAAGCATTCATGTAAACAGACGCTAAAAATATATTCCTTAATATAAGGATGTATTTTCATTTTGAATTACTATGACTACCCAGTAAAAAGGAACATCACAACAGCAAGTATATTACTATTGAGATTAGTGCTCTTAATATGATCCATTAAAAACTTCCAACTTCCTCTATACTCAATTCCATTACAGGAGCACTAACTTGTCATTTCTCAGAGGACCTCTCCTCCCAGACTATTGGCAACAGAAACTTACTGGACATTTTAAACTCCAAATGGATTAATTCCCCCCTGTATTTCAAATGAAGCAAATCAGCATCCCCCTAAGGTCTTTACTACAAGTTTGGGCTATTTTTCACTTTCCCTGTTAAAAATTCCTTGCCCTCAATAATTCTATCATCTTTATACTGCTTTTATTAAAATAAGTCACTCACTGGCCATCAATTAGGCATATCTTCAAATTTTACTAACAACATAGTTTAGTGCAAGATCTATGTGGATAATTTATATTTACTCTTCAAATAAAAGCTAACTGTTATTTCTTTCCTTCATGTTCCCGGAGATAAAACTCAGGGAATCACACTGAGCTGCATCCCCAGTCCTTTAACCATCTTCAACAGTCAATAGAAGAATCAATTTACAAGTGACTTATGTCACACATACATGAATATCAATACCATCTCTTTATGTACTGTGACAACTGAACTTATTATTTGATAACCTACAATACACCTTAGTAATATTGGATGGTGATGATGATAAAAACTAGAGAGAACAGGCACAGATAAAAGATGACAAAAGAATACTTTTCCTCAGACTATTTAAAACCAAAATTAAACTGTAAATATATTATGGTGGCATGATCATAATTACATGGAGATACAAGACAACAGCACCTAGGTTCCCGTCATTCATTCACTGAGACAGGGTCTTACAATGTAGTTCAGATTGGCCTTAAACTCACTATCCAGCCTAGGCTGGACTTAAACTTGCACTGAGCCTCCTGTCTCAGCCACCCAGGTACTAGGTTAGATATATGTATGTTTTAGTTCACATTTTTCTTTACCTTTCATTGAACTCAAGTACTCCTTCCCCTTTTAACCTTCAATGTTGATGAACAGGGTTTTAAAGAGTGACATTCTTAAAATTTCCCTTTATCTCTTTGAAAGATACCAAAGAATGTCTAGTCAAAAAAAGATGCCTGTACCTGGGTACAACTGCTTAGCCTTCCAATCTGGTGAATTAAGACAAAGTAGTTTTTACAGATGATGTACATATTTCTTATGTATACACGTTTCATCAAACACTGAACATCTGCAATCAGCTACTAGGACCACTACAGAAACAGTGATTTGGTCACCAAAGCTTACATAGGATTGCTTAAAAATTTTTATTAAAGACAGTACAGATTTTAAGTATCAAATGATCTTAATTTATTGACTTGTGATGAAAGTAGATTACCAGCAAAATCTCTGTAAAGTGACAAAGATGTTCAATAGTTTACGTCAGTGGTGGCGAACTTAAGGCACATGTATTACTGCTTTTCTTTTAAAATGAAAGATGTTAATGCAGAGTTGTTTTTTCACAATTAAAATCTCAGTGTTGAGTTTTTTGGGGTTTTTTTGTTTGTTTGTTTTGGTTTTTTGAGACAGGGTCTTACTATGTAGTTGAGACTGACCTTGAACTCACTAGGTAGCCCAGGCTGGTCTTGAACTCAGTGATCCTCCTGCCTCAGCCTCCCAAGTGCTGGGATTACAGGTGTGCACAACCACACCCGGCTCAGTATTGAGGTTTTAATTGTAGTTTTAGTATTTCATAATAAGTAAATGGGTTTTGGGTTAGTTTGATACTCAAGTTCCTAAAATGTTCGCCATCACTGGTCTAAGTGTACACACAGAAACTACTGAAAAAGTACTAGTATGCAGAACTGTCACACCAATTTTGTAACAGGATCTGAAACTCCACAGAAAAATCAAGATACCAAAAGCAAATCCCCAAAGACATTTATAACTATAGTAGGTAACAAGATATCATCACCAAAAGGTCTCAATGACAAAAGCAATCTGGACCCTAAATGATATTTTCTTTTTTCTTTGAGACTAGGTAACCTAGAGTGGCCTCAAAGTCAAAGAGATCCTCCCTGCCTCAGCATCCTAAATTACAGGCATATGCCACCACACCTGGGTGATAGAAGAACCCCAAAATAATCAGCTAATATTAACTATGGCAGAAAACAAAGAGAAACGATTTTTAAAACAGTTAAACACGGGCTGGGGATTTGGCTCAGGGGTTCCGCAGTCTGCCTGGCAAGCTCAAGGTCCCAAGTTCAATCCCTGGTTGGGGGGGGCAACAACAACAACAACAACAAAATAAACCAGTTAAACACTAAGACTACTCCAATAATAAGTGACTATAACCAATCAATACAAAGTTCTAAGGTACTAGGAACATCTTGGTCCCTATACAATCTCATACTAACCAAAGCACCCCATGTTCCCCTATCCCATCCCCCATTAAACCACTACACTGATTTTCACAATAATCATTTCCTTGTAAAATAGTTCTCAGTCACCTAAACTCGTTATTGCCAAAACAATCTTTCCCAAGAAAAGAAATACGATGTATCCTCTAAATTTGTTTTACGTAAGTTCCTATCCCATTTAACTTACAAATTTATCTGTAGAAGAACCCACTGCAGTGCCAATTGGTATGATGGCATCCTCCTGTTATTCCAGCACTAGGGAGGGCTGAGTCAGGAGCATTACACGAAGTTCCAGGACAACCTAGGCTAGTAATGAGTTTGAGCTGGCCTGAACAACAAAGACCAGACCACATCTTCTCACACACACACACACACACAGTGCAAGTACTATCCAGGGCATTCAGGTGTAGGTGCAGTAGAACAAAAGCAAACCTTAAAAAAAAAAAAAATCAGGCTGTCACATGGTTGGTGGCCTGCCGTCCCAGGTACTCCTGAAGCTAAGGTAGGACCCCAAGTTCAAACCACAATATACCCCCCCTCAAGTCAACTACTGTAGCCTTAAATATATCAATCCAGATAAAGTGACACACTCTTACAGATACAGCTATGTGGAACACTGCAATGGGAGGATCATTTTAACCCACGTATTCAAATCTAAATAAACCAGGCTGGCCAACAAACCAAGACTAACCCAGACTCAAAAAAACTGTCAGATTTCAAGTGTTAGAACCAGCAACAGAGGGAATGGGCCAATGTTAATTTCTTGCTTTATACAAATCTGTTATATTCAGGTTTGCTCCACATGTACTTTTTATAACATATTTGACAACCATTATAAAAATCCGAGCAACTACATTTAAAAAATTACAAATTATAAAATCACATGAATTACGATAAATGCTTAAGCAGTCTATAGGACCTGGGCTGCTGGCATATGCCTACAAACCCACCAATGGAGAGGCTGACACAGGATTTCCAGTTGAAGGCTTATATAAGGAGTTTAAGGGTAGTCTAACTACAAAGATCCTGGCAGAAAGAAAAAAAAAGCTGAGTGTGGAGGTGCACATCCTGAACTATGTAGCAAGACCCTGTCTCAAAAGACCAAAACCAGGAAACATACTTAAAACTAGCTACCAAAAAAAGAAAAAGTACTTAAGAATAATACAAATGCCACAAGATTTACTTTTTACATATTTAGGTTAAGTCCCCAGACCTTGAAAAAAGGTTTCGCTAAGTCACTAAATTGCAGACTGGCCTCAAACATTCCATCCTCATGTCACAGCCTCTACTAACTGGGATTCCAGCCACACACCACAGTGCAAGGCTGTTTGTACTTCACCTCTATTAAAAAGCACTTTCAGGGTAGGTGTGGCAGCACATATTTATAATTTCTGTACTTCATTTCTACTAGTTTCAGACTAGAGAATTTTTTCCCTTGATTTTGTCTCACCTGTTAAATAGTGATGTTAATCCACATAAATTAAGTTTTAAACAAACTCCTCTAGTACCTTGATGAACAATAACCTCTAGCTCATGGGTATAGTTTAAATACTCTATGCTTTTTGGTTTTTTGAGACAGGGTCTCACTATGTAGCCCAGGCTGGTCTCGAACTCATAGCAATCCTCCTGCCTCAGCCTCCCAAGTGCTGGGATTATAGGCGTGCACCACCACGCCTGGCTATGCTTCTTAAATGTTTGAGAAATAAAAATTTCTGCAAGATCCTAAATTTTCTGAAAGACCTCAAAAGAACAGCAGTCTGCTTGCACTCTTTAAAAGTACTAGGAAAGGACAAGTTTGGTGCCACTAGCACATAAATCCAGTACCTCTGGAAGGCCGAGGCAGAATTAAAAGTGGGCATAGGGTGGACAACTAAGCAAGACACCCAGATGGGGTGGGGTGGGTGGATGTGGTCTGTCTGTATTTATTAAATTATACTTGAGATCTATCTGCTTAGAAGTACAGGATTTTAAACCCTAGAATCAAGTTTCTTACCTAAAATTGTTTTTACAAATATAATCAGTATGCAAAAGATAACTAAATTGGTTTTCTTAATTACTCTACAGAAGAATTCTACTATAGTACAAATGACAGAATGAAAAAGACAATCCAAGTATTTTCCTAAAAATTATTGGTAACACTCCAATTTATGGTCCTGGTAAACACAATCCTATCCTATCACATTATTAAATGATCACCAAGGTGGTCTTACCTAGTGAATAAAAGTCAAATTCATTAATTTTCATTGTATTTTTAAAGCTAAAAATCATGTCTGTTTGTTTGATAAGCTTTACTCTGAAGCAATAATACAAGATTTTAGCAGGGGTGTGAAGGACAAGAAATGCTGAAGACTCCTTGAGACAAACATCTGTGCTATTCATACCCTCACCTTCCCAGTAAGCCCCAGAATATTAATATGTTTAGCAAACCTATCAATTTTGCTATGCCTCTTTGCCAACCCTAAGAGATCCTAGATTGCCAATCTAGCTAAAAATACAGGCTATGTTTTTTCCT